ATCATCATCATCATCATCATCATCATCATCATCGTCATCGTCATCGTCGTCATCATCATCATCATCATCATCATCATCATCATCATCATCATCATCATCATCACCATCAGCATCATCAGCATCATCATCACCATCAGTGTGATCATCATCAACACAATCATCACCATCAAAATCATCATCACCACCACCATCATCATCATCATCATCATCATCATCATCATCATCATCATCATCATCATCATCATCATCGTCATCGTCAGCATCATCATAGCATCATCATCAGCATCAGCATCATCAGCATCATCTGCAGCAGCATCATCGCCTTTGCCATCGTCACTAGCATGATCACCACGGCCAGCATCACCACCATCATCATCTTCATCATCGTCGTCATCAGCATCATCATCAGCACCAGCATCATCAGCATCTTCATCATCAGCAGCAGAAGCATCATCCCATCGCCATCGTCATCACCATCGCAACCAGCACCACCAGCACCACCACCACCACCACCCCATCATCATCATCATCCTCCTCCTCCTCCTCCTCCTCCTCCTCATCATCATCATCATCATCATCATCATCATCATCATCATCATCATCATCATCGGCATCATCAACATCATCAGCATCTTCATCATCATCATCAGCAGCAGCATCATCATCATCGTCATCGTCATCACCATCGCCACCATCACCATCATCGTCATCATCAGTGTCGTCATCACCACCACGTTCATCATCACCATCACCACCACCGACACCACCACCACCATCATCGTCGTCGTGATCGTCATCATCGCCACCACCACCACAACCATCATCATCAGCATCATCAGCATCATCAGCATCACCATCACCATCATCATCATCATCATCAGCATCAGCATCATCACCGTTAGCATCCTCATCCTCATCCTGATCATCACCATTTCCCGCCTCTTCCGCCTCCTCCTCCTCCTCCATCTTATCCTGCGCCTCCTCCTCCTCCTTCTCCGCCTCCTCCTCCGAGGCTCCCTGCGCGAGCGGCCCGCCGTTCCCTTCTTGGCATCGGCCCTCCCTTGCGCAGCAGCCTCATGCTCGTCAGCCTGTCCCCCCACGCCGACCGCGCTCCGCCCTGGTTCCAGAGGGGGTTGCTCTGTCTCTAAGGCTCCTGCGCCCCGGGCCCCTGGGGACGGGTTCTTCATCCTGCAAGTGCTCTTGACAGTCCCGGAGTCTCCACCCCCAAAAAAACGACCAACCACGCCGAAAAAATCCGCCGACCCAGTCGTCGTGTGTGGGACGCTGTCGTCGTCTTCGTCGTCGCCAGCCCCAAGGAAGTCTAGAAACGAACAGAGACAAGAAACGTCGTAAAAGAGACGTCGTGATTAAGTCGTTCCCCTCCCCTTTTCCCCTCCCTGAAAGGCGGGGCAGGGGACGGGGGGTACGGGGTGAGCGGGCACGGGAGGGGGGAGGTGGAGGTCGGGGGAAGGGCCTGGGTCAGATTACCGTCCCCCCTGGGAGCCCTGGGGGTCACCCTCCCCTCCCCCATGCGGTCACACCTGTGGAGAAGAGGGACAGGGAGGAGTGGCCCCACTGTCGGCAACCAGGACACCTCTCCCCGCCTCGGCCCTGGCTCCACCCTAGGGACCCCTGGCCACCTGGCCCGGGCCCCGGCCCTGGCCCCGGCCCCAGCCCCGGCCCTAGCCCAGGGCCCCCTGGCCCCGCGGGCCACGGCCCAGGACCTGGCCACCCGGCCCTGGCCTCGGCCCCACCTTTGGCCCCAGCCCCGGCCCTGGACCCGTCGAATCCCAGACGCCCGCCCCCAAAGAGACACACGGCTCTCCTCCCTCCTCCTCCTCCTCTCCTCCTCCTCTCCTCTCCTCCTCCTCCTCCTCCTCCCTCTCCTCCTCCTCCTCCTCTCCTCCTCCCTCCTCCTCCTCCTCCTCCTCCTCCTCCCTCTCTCCTCCCCCCTCCTCCCCCCTCTCCTCTCCCTCCTCCTCCTCCTCCTCCTCCTCCTCCTCCTCCTCCTCCTCCTCCTCCTCCCTCTCCTCATCCGCATCATGATCATCAGCAACAGAAGCAGCAGCAGCATCGTCATCATCACCATCATCATCACCATCATCATCAGCAGCAGCATCATCACCATCATCAGCAGCATCATCATCATCACAACCACCACACCCACCATCATCATCATCATCAGCATCATCATCAGCAGCAGCAGCATCATCGCCATCATCATCACCATCATCATGAGCATCGTCATCATCGTCACCATCAGCATTGTCGTCGTCATCAGCATTTTCATCCTCAGCAGCAGCACCATCATCAGCATCATCAGCAGCATCATCGACATCATCATCATCAATAGCATCATAAGCAGCGGAAGCATCATCAGCAGTATCATAATCATCAGCAGCAGCATTACCATCATCAGCAACATCACAATCATCATCAGCAGCAGCATCAGCATCATCGTCATTAGTTGCCTCAGCATCAGCATCATCGTCATCGTCATCATCGCCACCATCAACATCATCACCATCATGATCATCATCAGCATCAGCATCATCATGATCGCAATCATCACTATCATCATCATCCTTGTCATCATCGTTATCGTCAGTATCACCATTATCATCAGAATCATCATCATCATACTCGTCAGTATCATCATCACCATCATCATCACAATCAGCAACAGCGTAATCATCCTCATCATCCTCATCATCAACAACATCAACAGCGGCAGCAGCATCATCCTGCCACCGCCCGCGGCATGTCCCGAGCTTGTGGCAGGGTCATCAGCTCGTCGTTGTCGTTGTCGTCGCGGTTGTCGTCGCGGTCGTCGTCGCCCCTCTGAATCGGCGGCACTGTCCGTAAGGCCTTCACAGTAAAAACAGCAAGCGCGGCCGAAGACGACGAACAAATGCCGCCATGAACGCTTCAAGGCGTCTGGGGCCAGGGCCCTCCCCAACCTCGCCTGGAGCGCGCCGCGCGCCCTGGCAAGGATCCCGAGGCGGATCCAGCAGCGGAGGCTAGAGCCCCCCCGCAAGCTGCAGAAGCCAGAAAGCGCCCAAAATCTTCTGATATCGGTCCTCCCCAACCTCCTCCTCCACATCCCCCTCCTCCTCCTCTCGCGGCGGCGGGGCCTCACGGCGTCCAGTGGGAGGCCCGCCGCCACTGAGCGCCGCGCGGCGCCGCGCGCGCCCGCCCGCGCGCTGGGCCCGCTCCTCCGCGGCCTTCGGCCGCTCCCTGGCCTTCGGCCTGGCCTGCGGCCGCTCCTCTCTCGGCCTCGCCGCTCCGCCTCGGCGCGCCTCATCGACGCCCCTTCCCCTCCTCGTGCTAGTGCTGTCCTCGTGCTAGTGCTGTCCTCGTGCTAGTGCTGTCCTCGCGCTAGCGCAGTCCTCGTGCCGCCCTCGCGCCAGTGCTGTCCTCGCGCGCCCTTCCGCGGCAGCGCTGTCCTCGCGCTAGCGCCGTCGTCGCGCTAGGCCGTCGGTTCCAGGCCCAGGGGCGCGAACCACCAGACCCCTGCGTTAGGCGCGCTGGCTTGCCCAGCGACCGCCTCAGGCAGCGCCGACGGGCGCGCGCGCCGCCTCCTGGACCACGCAGGCGGCGATGGACCGGCGGAGAGTGCCGAAAGTCCCCTGTCGCCCAGGGCCCTCCGGCACTTGCTGCGCGAGCCACTGCCGCGTGGACTCGCCCACGGCTCCCGAGACTTCGAAGCCGAGGGGCTGGAAACCAGCGACTCCGTTGAATTTGCGGCGCTTGGCCCGTTCGGCCAGTCTGGCAGCGGCGCCTTGGGCGCGGGCGCCTCTGGCCTGCAGGCTCTGCTGCGAGGCGGGATGCACGATCGCTAGGTCAAGATAAGCCCACTGGCCGTCACTGTCTGTGCACCTGAGGTCCTCGCGGAGACCCAGATTGCCCAGCCTGGTTTGTGGGCGAATCCACGGTTCGACTGCGATGCCGCAAATGCCGGAATCACGTAGGGCTCGCGCGATGGCATCGCGCAGGTTGTCGCGCCTCTTAACCACGAAGCCGCCATAGGAGCGGCAGAGCGCGCGGCGCCCGCAAGTGTCGACGGCGCCGGCGCAGTGGGTTCCGTCCTACCTTTTGAGAGGACGGGGGCCGTCAGCTGCGCGTACAAGACCTCCGAGCATGTGTGTCAAGGCCATTCTGAAGTGGGCGTCAGCGAGATGGTGGTCGGGCCGCGTGGGCGGCCCGAGCCGCGCGCCTGCTCCCTTGCCCGTCGCGCTAAGAGCCCAGGCCCGTTGGCGCGGTTCCGTCTGGGTGCGTCGTAGCCACTGCGTCCACACTGCGCGCCGCCTGTGCCTGGTAAAGCGCCGCTGGGTGGTGTCGGGCGGCTCCGCGTCGGGCGCCTGCTGCGCTGCCTCTTCCTGCGTCAGCCCGTTGACAGTGCTCTGGAGGTAGTGGGGCGCTGGTCTCAAGCCCGGGCAATAATGGAGAAGGTCATCTCTGTCGCGGAGGCCCAGTCGCTGGAGAACTGGCTTCTCGCAGAGTGCCCACGAGGCCGCCTGAGCGCCCAGCCGCGCTGCGCCCACACTCTGGAACCCCAAGCCGCCCAAAGCGACAGGGTGACAGCATTTCTCTTTCTGCTCCGCTGTGAGGTCGTGCGTTTGCACTAGATCCCCCAGTGCGCCGAGTTGGTCGGCGTCGAGCTGGGTCGCCGTTTGGGCGGGAACCCCGGTGGCACGCATGTGCCACGTCATGTATCCTGCAGTGGGGGTCCGTAGTAGTACCAAAGACGTCTGGACGTCTAGGCCGGCTTTGCGATGGCCCATGAGTCTGGCCATGGCATTCGTCCTCTTGGTTCGTTGGTTTTATAGTCGCGGCGAGGCGGGTGAGCGCAGGCTGCCCTCCTCGGCGCGCTGGTCGGCGGTTACAGGCGTCGGTGACAGACTGGAGTAGTCGTCGGCGCGTTGTCGTGAGATCGTAGGCTGCCCTGCTCGCGGCACGGTTAGGCCTGCTGGCATCGCGGCAGGATTCCCCGCCCACACCTCGCACTTGTCGACGCGTGTCTGGAGGCCGGCTTGGCGCAGTGCGTTGGTGTAGACTGCGCATATGGTGGGTGCGTCTTCAGGCTTCGCAAGGATGGCGAGGTCGTCGACGTAACCGAAAAGCTCGCGCTGCACACCTGCTGCGTCGAGTTGGTGTTTGGCCCTCTCGAGGGCTCGGTCCAGTCCGAGGCAGACGAGCGCGGTGGCCATGCCGCACCCGTGGAAGATATCCGTCGCTCGGTTCCAGATGCGTCTTCTGCCCCCGGCGTCGCGGTAGACTACCTGCCCAGCGCCCGGTCGGAAGCCTCTTGCCCGTCGGCGGAGCTTTGGGCTGCGAGCATCGATACCTTCGTTAATGTGCACCCTGCCCAGCTTCTGAAGGGCGCCTGCAGCGCCCAGAGAGAAGAGAGAGCACAGCGTAGCCCAGAAGGACGCGGAGGGCAGTGGACACGCGCTCGTGGACCAGTTCCGCCCCAGCCGCGCGCTTGCACCCGAACTGCTTGCCGCGGAGCCCCTCGGCTACCTCGTCCGCCACCATTTTGTTAACCGCCTTGGGCGCGAGACAGCAAAGCGAGCTGGCGAGGTTAATGGGGCGGATTCGGGTGGGGCTCTTGGCAAGCAGGAGGAAGCGGGCGGCCGTCGCCAGTTCCTCAACTTCCTGCGGGAGGGTGCCGCGGGCTAGTGCTGCGGCCACTGTGGTCAGGGCACACAGAGCGGACAGGTCAGTTTGGACGAGATGCAGGTGCTCGCACCGCCACCCGTCGGGCCCAGCTGCGCTTCGTTTTGGTGCGGCCCGCAAGGCTTTGGCGAAGTGTAGCTCGAAGTGCTGCTGCTCGTCATCCTGTTCGTAGTAGGCGGCGAGTGGCTGTGGCTGATCATGTAGGAAGAGCTGCGGTGCGGCTTGAAGGGTCAACTCGTCCCCGGCAATTTCGAATGCTTCGCGGAAAACTCTCGTAGTTTTGCCCACGGCGCCTGCCTCCACAAGTTTGCGTGCCGTCATAATGTCGTGCTCTGCGGTAGTCTTCCGCCTGGCGCGCAAAGGGGGTGAGGCGCAGTCTAGGACGGCGCCCCAAAGCCGCGTTTCGCGGTGCTCCCTGATCTCCAAGGCCCAGCGGAACAGCGTAGTGGTGAGCTGGGCGTTGCCTCTCTTGCCGCCTCGGAAGTTGGCGTGCCCGAGCAGCAGCTTAGGGAGCATGAACCAACACTTGGCCGCCTTGGTGATGGACTCCAGGGTGCCGCGTTGGATCTCGCGGGCGAAGGCCTTCGTGTGTTCCGTTATGATGGCGCCCACCACCCCGCGAGCGCGCGGCGGTATGTGGCGGCCGTGGGCACTGATTTTTGGACCATTCCTGGCGTGATGGTGTCCGCCCATTCGGCGTTGTTGTCGCTGCTGGCGTGCCTGGCCGTGTCGAGTTGGAGTTGCGCGTCGGCTGGCGCAGGCGGCGCCGGCGCGGTGACGACGGCAGCCGATTTGTTTTCAACTTCTCTTTTGAATACAAAAGGTAGGTCGTCGGTCAGTTCCAGGGCAGCATTGCTGGTCTGGGCGCAGACAAGAGCGCGCTCCAAACAGGCGACGGGGCTCTGCGGCGCAATGCTGGTGCGACAGCGGATCACCTGCAGCGGCATAATGGAAGTACACATCGCGCACGTAGCTGCTCTGCCCGTGTGGCGCACCACGTCGCGGCGTCCTCTCGTGGCCGTCGCCGCGACCGTTGCCCGGCAGTGTCGTCTGGTAGGGCGCCAGGCCCGGCGGCAGCTGCAGTGCCAGAGCGGGAGACTTCGCCAGTTCGTTGCGCCCGATTCCGCCCGTGTCTTGCCTCGAGGGGCCCGGCGTCGGCTGGCGCATTCGTGTCCATATCGTCCGCTGTGGCGGCCGCGGCCGCGCCAGGGCCTGCCCCGGGGTACCCCAGCGTGCAGTCGAAGCCCAGCTCGCTCCACGTCGCGGCCATTGCGGCTGGCACCATCCCGTAGGCTTGGTTCGTCCTTGCCAGTGTTTCGAGCTGCGCCCAGCCGTGGTGACAAGGAGCCCGAGGCGTCGGGGCACTCATTGTCGCCGTGGCCAGCGTCATCGTGTAGCTGGCGGTACCGGCAGCGGCTCCCGTAAACGCAGCGGCCAGCAGGCAACTAGCGAGCAGGACGATCGCGAGAGCGTACTTCTTGCCAGCCTTCTGCACGAGTCCGCACGCCTTGGAGGACCTGGCCAGGAGGCGCCGCCCGACCGTCAGTGCGGCAAGCAGCAGGTCCACAGAGAGACCGGTGAACACCGCGAGAGCGCACGTGAGATGGCCTGCGAGGCACAGCATTGAGGAAAATTGGCAGCTGCCGAGGCGGCTCTGGCTCACACCCTGCACTCCCCCTTTGGCCGGCGGCATTCCAGGCCGAGAGCGCCCAGAACTGCAAGGCCGCTAGCACCTGCGACCGTCCGCGGGCGTGCCAGAAGAGGCGCAACGCCCTCTCGGGGACGGTGCAGCGAGTTACCCTGGTCCCACCAGTGATTGTGCTGCTGAACGTGGCGCTGCTGGTGTCCGTCGTGCTGGTCGATCTGGTGCCGCTAGTTGAAATGGTGCTGTGAAGCATGATGCTGCTGGTATTGGTCGTGCTCGTAATGCTTATCGTCGTGCTGGGCGTAGTGGTGCTGTTGATACCAGTCGCACTCTGAACACTCGCATTGCTGCTCTCACCGCTGCTGCTCGACGACGTGCTGGGCGTAGTCGTGTTGCTGGTACTGGGCTCGCTCGGAACACTCATGGTTATACTTGTACCCGTGCTGCTCGCTGACGTGCGGAGCGTATTGGTGCTAAAGGTGCTGCCGGTACTGGTCGTGTTCGTCACACTCGTGGTTCTGCTCTCCGTCATACCGCTCGCCGCCGTGCTGGGCGTAGTTGTGCTGCTGAAGTCGGTCGTGCTCGTCACACTCGCGGTGCTGCTCTCGGTCGTACTGCTCACCGATGTGATGGGCGTACCCATGCTGCTGGCACCAGTCGTGCTCTTCACACTCGTGGTGCTGCTCTCGGTCGTACTGCTCGCCGACGTGCTGGGCGTAGTGGTGCTGCTGGTATCGGTCGAGCTGGTCATACTCCTGGTCGTGCATCCTCCTCCTCCTCCTCCTCCTCCTCCTCCTCCTCCTCCTCCTCCTCCTCCTCCTCCTCCTCCTCCTCCTCCTCCTCCTCCTCCTCCTCCCTCCTCCTCCACCACTCCTCGCCTCCTCGCCCTCCTGCAGCGATCGGCGGGGCAGCAACGAAGCGAAGCGGGAGCAACCTCCGCGACGAGGATGCTGCGCCCGTCTCTCTGGACCCCTTTCGGGGGCAAGGCCTCTGACCTCGATCCTCATCCTCCTGCTGCTCCTCCTCCTGCTCCTCCTCCTCCTTGTTCTGCTGCTCCTCCTCCTCCTCCTCTCCTCCTCCTCTCCCTCCTCCTCCTCCTCCTCCTGCTCCTCTCTCCTCCCCTCCTCCTCCTCCTCCTCCTTCTCCTGCTTCTTCTTCTCCTCCTCCTCCTCCTCCTCCTCCTCCTCCTCCTCCTCCTCCTCCTCCTCCTCCTCCTCCTCCTCCTCCTCCTCCTCCTCCTCCTCCTCCTCCTCGTACTCCTCCTCCGACGACGACGACAACGACAACGACGACGACAAGAGGCCAATTTTCTTCCAATTCCTGCAAGTGTTCTTGCATGGAGGGTGGAGAAATCTGGAACCCACGCAAGTCGGGAATCACTTGTACGCCGTGTCGGACCAGCGCTGTCGGAGAAGGGGGGGGAACCAAATGCCATCCATGCAAGTCCGCCGACCCCCGCTTGCTCGGAGCGAAAGGGCGCGTGAGATGACTGACTGCCACCCCTCCCCCTTTCCCTCTCCCCTGGAAACTGACATCCCGTTGGAGGGGGGGGTGAGGGGGGAGCCCCAGGTGGGGGTCGTCGTCGTCGTCGTCGTCGTCGTCGTCGTCGTCGTCGTCGTCGTCGTCGTCGTCGTCGTCGTCGTCGTCGTCGTCGTCGTCGTCGTCGTCGTCGTCGTCGTCGTCGTCGTCGTCGTCGTCGTCGTCGTCGTCGTCGTCGTCGTCGTCGTCGTCGTCGTCGTCGTCGTCGTCGTCGTCGTCGTCGTCGTCGTCGTCGTGGTCGTGGTCGTCGAGGTCGTCGTCGTCGTCGTCGTCGTCGTCGTCGTCGTCGTCGTCATCGTCGTCGTCGTCGTCGTCGTCGTCGTCGTCGTCGTCGTCGTCGTCGTCGTTGTTCAGAGTCGGCGGCACCGGCCGCACGGTCTGCCCAATCCCGTCAGAAGGGGGAGCGAGGGGGGGGGGCCCCAGAGGGGGGTGGGGGGGGAGGGTGGACGGGCTTGTCCACGCGCCCCCGGAGGTCTCCAGAGCCTCCAGATCCAGCCCAGCCCCTGCCGCCTCCACGATGCCCAAGATGCTCTCCAACATGGCGCAAGAGGGGCACCAGCACGCCCAGATGGTTTCAAAAGCACTCGAGATGGTCTCAAGACTGCCCAAAACCTCGAAAGAGCGCCCAAGAGGCACCCCAAAAGGGCCTCTAGGAGCAAAAATCTCTGATTTTGCTCACCTGTTTGAATGATTGTCGCGCTCTCGCCTTTTCGGGCGTCTACAGGCCCGGAGACGGCCCAGGAGGCCCCAAGAAGGCCCGCACGACAAAAAAAAACTCGAGAAGCCCCAAGAGGGGCCGAAGACAGGCCCAAGTGGGGGAACCTGCAAGGACCCCGGGAGCCCTCCCCCAGAAGATGTCCCGCAAGACTCCCAACACAACCACAAGAGGCCCCCAAGAAGCCCCTAGAGGGCCCCAAAAGCCTCCGGGAGCTCTGAGAAAGCGCCCAGAGGCCGCCCCCTCGGGCCTCCAAGAGGCTCCGTAGAAGCCCCGCAACAGACACGGAGAAGGAGGAGGACGAATCAGCAACAACTCCACGCAGGCCGCAAGACGCGAGGTCGCGGACGACACACACGAAATCGGAGGCCACACATGTTCTCTGAGGGCAGGCGACATGGCGTAAGCGTCTTGAACGAATTCGCCTGGGTCTGAGGTCGGGAACTCTTGCGTGGCGTGTCGCGGCGGCGGCCCCCGTGACAAGCTGTTCCCTGCGAGCGGATCGCGTGCTGCTACGCTCCGCGGGGCGGGACTGGGAGAAAGGTCGGGACGTGGACACCTGAGGAGAAGGAAGAGGAGGAGGACGAGGAGGAGGAGGAGGAGGAGGAGGAGGAGGAGGAGGAGA